TTGTTACAGGAAATAAGGAAGACCACTGTGATAGTGTAACTGAATCTGGAGGATTCATCTGGGCCTGTTGATCTTTTAACATCAAAGCCAGCAGGGAACACTGGGTATTTACATGCCTTGAGACTTTGTTTTCCTAATGGATAATTCTACCCTCATAGATCAGAACACTGCTGGTTATTCCCACCCCCCACCCTCAGCGCACCCCCTACCCCCAGAGGATACTTCAGGACTTCATTTCTCACAGGTTTATCTCAGACTGACATTGTACTGATGCTAAAGTGGCTTTTGAGAGTCTGACGGCCCTGCAGCATGGCCTGGCCTGAGGAGGGTCTGCTGGTTTAAACCAGTCGGTGGCTTTTAGCTCCAAAACACTCCTAAATATCTGCTACCGTGCTCTGGCCCCCTCAGCAGCACATCTCCCTGTGCTGGGCATGCAGGATATGCTGGTCTTGGTGTGCTGATGTGGACCTTTGACACCAGCCAAACATGGGGTGATTTCCGGGTTCAATATAACTGTTTTCTGCACAGGGCTGCAGCCAGGGTTGAGGGATTGCTGTCCTTTATGGAAGTATGTCGTGTTCGGTGAGTATTTCCTTGTTAATGGAGCCATCACCCAACTGAAAGAGAGGTTTCTGTGGAAAAACGAGGGCAGCACCTCATGAGGCGGGAGCGGCCGCCAGGGGGCGCGCTGCCGCCGGGCTGTCGGGGCCGCGGCTGGCGGCGCGGAGCTGAGCAGCGAGGGTCGGTGCTGGGTCCAGATCCAAGTCCGGGTCCGGTGCGCAGCGGGTTCGAGGTATGAAACGGCTCCATCAGCTCTGCAGCACTCGGGGCCCGGTAGGGGAGAGCTACAGTGCGCTCCCGGGCCGTCCCACACGGCCGCCGCCTGCCCGTCCGCCCCTGAGGTAGTGCCCGTGCAGCCGGCTGCGCTGAGGCGGGTCGTGCCCTGAGGTGAGGTGCTGGCTGCCCCCACGGCAAGGCCGCCGGCGTACAGAGCAGACTGGATAGCTACGAACTGATGTAAAACCAGACCTTCTCCAGTGGTTTAGAGAGGAATTTGCTTGGACTGAGACCTGGAAGCGAACACAAGTCCTGGTACCCAACTCTGGGCAGCTGTCTGGTGTTCACCGTGGAAACCTGCATAGATGTGCCACCTCGGTAAGAGTTGCCATGTTCACCTCCTGGATCCTGTGAGGGTTATAGTCACGGGGAGGATTACAGTCACTGGGAGGGAAAAGTGTTCTATTTGTGAAGCAAAGAAAGACAAAATGCAAAACTCTGAGCTCTCCCTGTTGAGTGCTGGTTGGCAGAGAGGAGGCACAGCCCAGTCAGCTCCACCACTGGCTCTCTTAACAGTGAATTGGTTTATCTTCTCTGGTCCCATCAGTTTCCTAACAACTTGCACTGTATTTTCCAAAACCAGACTCTACCTCCTCTTCCTGTTCGATCTGATGTGTGGATCACCTTGCCATGGTGTCAAGTCACTGAGAGGACAAAGGTCTCAATTCCTCTTCTTGGAGATGCATCCTTCATTCACCCCTCGGCTTTAACTGCTTGAAAGCTTGTCAATTCTGGGTTAACTGTAAGCATGACTTACTTTATGTTAGAAATGAGCCTTGAGTTACTAACTGGTCTCCATTCCAAACAATTCTTTTAATTTGGAATGAACCTACCACTGTGTGCTGTGATCCCATCACGTGACAGTTAAAAAGGAGCAGAAACACATTTTGAACATGATGAGGGCTGGCCTGATAGAAGAGCTCACTCTTAAGACAACCACCCCAAAAAAATGATTAATAGAGGATTTAATTACTTCCCCAGCTACAACCAAAAAGACCATTAGATCTAACTGCAACCAATTGCAGCCTCTGGGGCAGGAGAGAGCTGGAGGTGGAAAGACTAGTCTACTTTTTCAGTACTGTACTTTTTGAAAAAGTCCTAAGTATAACATGGGGAACAGGGAGGGTTAGGAGGACAGTCTTTCAATGCAAGTTAGAAAACAGAGAAGAGATTGGACCTTATTTTTTTCCCACTGTTCTCTTCAGGAAGTAAAGTATCCATGAATCAGGGAGAATCCAAAAGGCAGCACATACAGACTAATTCATATTGACCCTAGAAGTTGAACTTGCATTGTCCCAGCCATGATAAGTATCACTGATACTGGGAGAGCACTTTGCTGCTGTTACCTTTTGGGCACAGTTTAAACCCATCTCATACCATGTGTGGTCCTTAAAGATTTTTTTGCTATTTTCATGAGTGTGAAGGGGTTAATCTGAGTGGTTTGATCCAGTCCCAACTAATTTCTTGCTAGGGTTGAGTTTGGGTGCAGTGGTTTTGGCTTCTGACCCAAAATACTGTGTTTTGCCTCATCAGTTGCCTTCCAGGGCTGGCTGCTGGCTGACTCCAGTACAGTAATCAAGCTGGGGTGGTTGCTCCATTTAGTTCCAATTATGAGAGCTGGGCAGTTTTGTAAAAGCCCTTTGGGGCTACTTTGGGTGGAAAAAAGGACCCTTGAACAAACTGTTTTATTTGCTCCAGGAGGCTTAGCTAACAGATGTTGGCTGGGTCCCTACTTTGAGGGCTTTCTATTGCATATTCATGAGCTGACCTTTACAGCCACTTCCAGTGCAGGAGGGACATGTATCTACATTTTGTCCACAGCATTAGGCATATAAAAGGTTGCCTCCATGACTGAATGTGAAAATGGATTGGGATTTATTATCTCAAGTTCTTCTACCTAAGTTTCTTCTGAAGCCTTTGTGTGTTCTGTCTGCATCTGCCCTGTGGTGGCCCACAGTTCCCTAGTTTCTCTAGCAATTACTGTTTTCCAAGGTACAGTCACCAGGGGATGCAGTGGGGAAAAATGACAGCCTAAATTAAGAGGCTCTCACAGACTTGGAAGATGATAATTTGTCAGTAACAAAACTCCTCATTAGAATACTGTTAATTTCCTTTCTGTGGCAATTATAGCACAGCACTAGCTCATATGTGCAATGTGCAGAGATATTTCCCTGGGAAAAAAAAAAACCAAACCAACACACCCCTATCATTACCACTAGTGAAAAATATTCCTTAGGGTGAAAAATGAACTTGTAATTTAGCAGCAGTTTTCCAGCTTAGTGGGAGTTTGGTGTTAAGGTTTTGGGAGTTCTCCCTGTTGTGTATTATATTTATGCTAGACTTCATGGTTAGCATTTTCCCACTAGCATCTGGAATCAGAGGTGATACAGAGCTCTTGACGTGGCAGTCCCCAACTGGGTGGAACCTGTTACCCCTGAAATTCAGCTCATTATTCTCCCTTCACTTTAAAAATGTGCTTCCCTCCTCCCTACAGACATCTTTAAGTGACTGCTGTTTCTTTCTGTTGGCATAGCATATTTTTGCTTATCCATCTGTTTTGAAGTTTTGATGAGGTTTAGTTTTTCAATCAAAAAGAGATTGTTTTTATAATAGCTGTTTAGTGCCTGGAATGTTTTGGCAGTGGTGCTGGTGTATGAGTACAGTGGGTTTGTGCTTCTCAGAAGTGCTAGATCTGGTAGGCTGTTTTTACACTTTGAGAGAGCAGGCTGGACAGGCTCTAGACAATCAAGACGTGAATGCTGTGCTCAGGGAATCACCTTTAAACCTGAAGAAGGTTTGTTCTGTTTAACTGAGTGTTGGCCATAAAAGGGGAGAGAAGCCCTCTTGTTCATCGGTGCACTGGAAACCCCTGAAGAGCTTTTATTTTGTTCTGCTCTTCAGGTCCAAAGTTCTGGAGTTTACTTCTTGCACATGCTTAAAAAGTTTACCTAAAATCTTCAAACTACTGGAAAGGACATTTCTTTAAAAAATATCTCCTAGCTTGGATTGTGATCTGCTGGGCACAGAGCCACCAACAGAGGGAAGCTTTTTACCTGAACACTCCTTGAAGATAACAGATTCCTTCCTAATATTTGCTCAGGGTGGGGCATCTCAAGCAGCACTATAGGATGAGATTATCATCTTAACTCTTTTATTTGTTCCCAAAATATGGATTATTTGCAGGATTGAGGTCTTCTGCTGGTTTGGCCAAGGGATCAGATCAGGTAACAGAGAATATCATTCCCTTTAGTTGATCTTGCTCAACTGCGTGGGATGATATTTTAGCCTCTGGTCCTGACCCTAAATTAGTGCCAGCCATGCAGGATGCTGAGATGTGGAAACCTGCTCTTCTCTGGTGGCTGTAGCTTGTGTGGGTGTATGGAAAGGGCTTAGCACTGTTTCCTTCTTCTTGCGGAAAAATCTTTTAGCAACTAATAAGCTAGGACCCAATGGTTAAGAGCATGGACTGTGTGTTTCCCCATCACTGTGTGGGACAAATCTAATATGGATCAAAAGTAATTCACAGTATGGAGCTCATGGTAGCTGTGGATCAGAGAGACAATCTCTGCTGCCTGCTCCAGTACTGCCAGACGGAAGATCCCATTCCTGTTCTAGTGGTATTCTAGCTGGATGTTGGGGGTTTGTTGCTGTTGTTCCAAACAAATTTGTAGAGAAAAGAGAGACTTCTAGCTTGGCTCTGTCCTTGTGGCTGAGGTGTGTCTGATCTGGTACTGGAGCTCCTGCATTAAGAAAACGTGCCCTGCGGTGCTGGACTGTCTGCTCTGACTCTGGCCCTGACTGGCGTTGGCTGTTGGTGAAGCAGAAAGCAGAGGCACTGGCAACGCATGGATCAGCCTGGCTTGCTTGCCCTTCCCCCTTGCCAACCTGCTATATCTCTACTTCATTGGATGAAGTTAAAACTGCTGAATCTTTGCCTTTGGTCAGGGCATTCCTCAAGTTCCTAATCCAGGCTCCAGATGGTCAAGATACGCATCTTGACATAGAGGAACAAATAATTATGGCAAAACACTTAAAACCCCACACTGGGCCCTAGCCGTGGGGCTTTCCAGGACAGAGAGGTTACCTTCAGAGAGCCCAGATAGCGCGGCAAGTCTGGCCACCTGCCCGCCGGGACCCTCAGGACCGCAATAGCAGGTGCCAGAGCGTGGCACCGGAGAAGAGCGGGCTGAGACCCGCCGGTTCCGCTCGCCCGGGCCCTGCCGCGAGGATCGCTCCGGGAGGGCAGGGGCGACCCTCGGCTCCCCCGCCGCATCCTCCGACGTGCTGCTGCTCCGGGCTCTGCCTCCCCCGCGCTGGGAAGGGCGGGCCGCCGGCCGCAGGGCTCGGGGGAGGCGCCGGCAGTGCCCGGGGAGGGGTCACCTGCCCCGTCCGGAGCCGGCCGCCGGGATGCCGCCCGCCAGCGCTGCTCGCGCTAATTGGATATTCCCTGGATGGAGGATTTCCTCCCCTCCCGGCTGCGGGAGTCACGGAGGCAGGCTCGCTTGCGCTTGAAAGTTTGCCAAGCAGCAGCTAGGTTTAATTTCTTTAAGGATCTGGGGAGAAGGGAAAGGGGGCGGGGGGGGCGGGGGCTGGAAGGGGACTGTTTCCAAGCATGGGAGACAGGCTGCCGGAGCCTCACGCCAGCTCTTCCCCTGCTGTGGCTGCCAGCTCAGAGGCGGAAGAAATCGAGGTGCTGGACTCAGAGGATGTCCTACCTATGGCTGCAGAGGATGTAAGTTTCCTTTGCTCGGTGTCTTCCCACCTTTCCTCAGGGCCGGGTTAATCGGCTCGAGCTATTTATACATGAAGTCCGGGATGGGGGGAGGAATGGGGCTGGTGACCCTCTGGGGCCGGGGAAAGCCGCCGTCCCCGCCGCCCTCCCGCCGCTGGTGCCTGCGGCTGTTTCCGTCCCCGGGAACGCAGCTCCCTTCTCCTTGCCCCAGCTCGGAGAGCTCTGGCGGCAGCGGCCCGGACGGGTTGCGGGTCCGTTTGGTGGGATGCTGGGTCCCCGCGAGCGGCGGCTGGGCAGGAGCGGCGGGGCTGCGCAAGGAGCTGTCCCTGGAGGCTGGAGAGGGGCTGACGCCTCGGCTTGAGCCGCCTCCAAGGGACAGAGAGCTTTTCCAGAGAGCCAGCCACTCGGAGGGTGACAGATATGAAACGCTCTCGGGAGCCTGTTCCTTCTTCCAGCCCCCGAGCAACAAACAGCCGAGGAAGTTTTCTCCCCGACGCGGCTGGGCTGATGCTTCTCTCCACCCTCTGAGCTCTGATTGCACCTGAGGGTGGGAAAACTTGGCACCGGTCTCTGCCTCTGCTCATCCAGCCTAGAAGGACACCATGTGGTCCTGCGTGCTTTGAATCTGCTCCTGCCGGGCTGAGCAGCAAAGCCTGCAGAGCTGAGGCGGTAGTTCTGCATCTGCCGGTCCCAGAGGCAGGAGCTCGCTATGCACCTGTCTGTGAGGTCGCGAACGTAAGCGGATCCTGCGGTCCTGGTGCATCCTAGCACTGCTCGCAGCTCTCCTTCCCAGCAAACTGTGCTGGGTTGAGGACTAGGCAAACTGTCTGCTCAGCCTGCAGAGGAAAGTGCAGAGTCTGCCTCTGCGTGTGAAGGCATGAAGCGGTGATACTAAATGTCTTTCTGCAGCGGGCTCTGTCTCGGGTCTTGCCCCAGTTTAAGAGGGACACTTATGAACTAAGCTTCCAGCAATGGTGCATCCCCCTTTCCCTCTACTTTTACGACACTGGGGCTGCTTAGGGGCCGTGTCAGCTCTTCATCCCCTAGCCCTTCTTTCTGAATCACCTAGAATTCGGATGCTGTTGGATTTTCCTCCCAGAGGGTAGCAGAGGAAGTGCAATTGCCTGGCAGAGCTGCATTCCCTAGGCTGTATCCTGAGCTCTTAAGAACGTGTGATGATGCAGTTTGACCTCTGCTACAGCACTGCCAGACAGCCCTAAGAGAAGCATGCCTGACCCTGGGGTATGTGTAGCTTTCACTCGGAAAGGATGGCTTTCCAGGAGCTTTCACAGGCGAGGTTTCCAAATCCCAGTGCTTGCTTACCTCATACTGTGACCTTTCTTTCCCTGGCAATTTCTGTGGTTGTCTGGATGGTCTACAAGAAAGGTTTCCTGATGTGATACACATGGACCCCTTGGAGTTACTCCAGCCTCTACATGAGTGCAGCTATTAGCTATTTAATCCTGCCAGGGGCACAGGAGATGCTGAAGTGCTGAGTGCCTGACAGGACTGGGCTCCTGAGACAGCAGAGAGACCATGAGCTTTCCTCAGTGAAATCTAGATTTTCATCCTAGTTCTGCTACTGACTTGCTGCTTGACCTTGAGGTAGGACAGCTCGGGTCTGATCCAGCTTGCAGTGTCTTGCTGGGATCTGCATTGTTATTTGACTCTGGTACCTTGTTTTCTTCAATCAACAAAATTGGGCTAGAGCCTGCAGTTGCATTGGTTATGGGAAGCTGCTGAGACTTGGCAATAGATGATGTGGTAGAAACCTGAGGTATCGGATATCATCTGCAAGTGAGGAGCAGGAAGTGGTGTAAATGCCCTCCTCCTTGGCCAAGATTTCCTGCTGAAACAGGCTACAGAGCATCATCTCTGAACATTCAAACTGCTCTGTGCTAGGACTTGAGTGCCCTCCTGAGACCTCACTGGGGGTTGAGTTTCTGTTGTTATTACATTGGAAAGCTTGATGTGAGCTCTTGGGCTTGGCCAGCAAGAACTGACTCAAGGTCAGTTCTTTATGTGTTATTAACAATAAAAATGTTACAGAGTGGCAGTTTGGCTGTCACAGCCTTGTCAGTGTGCAACAGCTCAGCTATGATGTCATTACAGCTCTGGGAGCAGCCTTCCACAAAGCCAGGATTCAGGCAGTCCCCAAATGCTCTGTTTAAAGTGGTGGGCTGATTTATGATGATAAATGGGAGTTTATAAATGGGTAGAGGCATGGGGAGGAGGGGAGCCAACAACTTAACTGATTAAATGGAATTCAGTGGCCTCATATCCCACTGTCTCTCCAGTCAATTGTGCTTTAGATCTGCCTACCCTATGAAAGGAAATGTTCTTCCAGGACTAGATAAGACTCTCACCAGAGTCCTGCTTTGCATATAGCACAGAGAGATTTGTTTCTCTCAGCCTGGTGTTTGTTGGTTTACTCATTTTGCCTCTCTGTCAGGGTGAATGGGGCAGAAACAAAGTGCTGTGCTGGAGAAATGGGAATACGCAAGAGTCGTGGTTTAAACCCAGCCAGACAACTTGTTCACTCACTCCCCCCCTTCTTGCCCTCCCCCTACTCCCGGAGAGACGGAGAGGAGAATCGAAAAGAATGCAACTCCCCCGGGTTGCGGCAAGAACAGTTTAGTAACTGAGGTATAACACAAATCACTACTGCTACCACCAATGATAATAATGATAAAGAAAATAACAAGGGAAGAGAATACAACACCTCACCACCTGCCGACCGATAACTCCCCCCCCCCCGCCCGACCAAGCACCGACCGATACCTCGTCCAACCCCGCAGTCCCTACCCCTTCCGGGTAACTCCCAGTTACATCCTGGGCATGATGTGCTGTGGTATGGAATACCTCTTCGGTCATTTTGGATCAGCTGTCCTGTCTCTGCTTCCTCCCAGCTTCCCCTCCTCCCTGGCAGAGCATGAGGCCCACAAAGTCCTTGGCCAAACCAAAGCATCATTGTTATCAGCTCTGTTCCCAGCCCAAAAGTCAAAACACAGCACTGCACCAGCTACCAAGAAGGAAAAAAAATGACTGCTACTGCTGAACCCAGGACAGCAAGGTTTTTGTCTGGGGACTCCAAGCCAGTGGTTACCACACTGTTGTACCATGAAAGTTGTTCTCTTCTTAGCTGGCTCCCAAATCCAAGAGAGACGGGAAAAATTCATTAGGAATCCCCTCTGTACTGTGGGACAGCAAGGCAGCAAGCCTGGGTCCGGGTGGTGACTTGATGTTGGTCTTTATGCAAAGCATAAATTGGAGCTGGTCGCCAGCTTGTTTTTTCTGTTCCCAAGTAACAAGGACTTGTGGACTGTTCACATGATCAACAGTGTTGAAATGCAGCTTCCTCCTGCACAGAGCTGTTAAGGCAGATCTGCTAGAACAGAAGTGTGTGGGGTAAATTCTTGTAATGGGCTCTCTTCAGCCATACACGCTCCCACTTTGCCTGAGAGGAATTACCTGTTTTTCAGACATGGACATGCGAGGTTCAAAGAATTGGTGGGTTATCAGAGACCTTGCAGCAAGTCCCTACCCGAGTTACGAGCAGGCAGCAGACAACCCAGCAAGGCAGGATCTCAGAAAGTGATCTGAAACCCCATTGCTAATTCCTCCCTCCCCTCAATATACACCAAGCTTTCTTGATCCCTGTGAGTAAAAAAGCCTTTTATTCCTTGCTTGCCTGCAAGTAGACAAAGTGGGAGAAAACAGAATTAACACATGAATGTTCTGAGTTCATCCTAATTTGGATTTGTAAATGAAAACTGTTCTCCCTGTGGTTGGTAGATTCCCCCTGCCTCCTCCCCCGGAAGGGTAGGTGATTCTGGGATGAAGAAGGATGCTGGAAATGGCACTAAATCATTTGGTTATTTCTCTGTGTTAGAATATACTTCTGCAGTTTACTGCATGTTAATGTCCTTGCTCTTATACCTTCTTTTTCTTCTTTTCCTCCCTTATGCATTGCCTCTCAGCACTGGAAAGCCCTATTTGATCAGGTATGTGAACAACTGATGTATTGTCTCTGTCTTGTGAGCAAAGATTCCAACCCCCAGTTAATTTCCTCTGTACTAGATTTCCCTGCTTTTAGAATACAGCTTAGAAGTAATGTGCTTCATGCTCCTAGTTCCCAGGATGCTGGTTTGCAAGTCACTACTGCTTTGGGCCTTTCTCTCAATTTCTCTTCTGAGCAGCCAGGGTAAGAGATGGGCCCAGCCTGGCCACCCCTTCTAGCACAAGGGCTGAGCTGAGGGCCCACAGCAGGTGCTCTGTTTGTACCCAGTTGTACCATCCTTGCTCTGTGGATTAAAAGATCTTCTACTGATTGAGGCAGGCAAACTAGGACCTGTAAAACAAGCACTGTATTCTTTTAAATGCCCCCCCCCCCCCCCATTTCAGCTGCTAAACTGACTGCTGGGGGGTTGCATCCTCCCAGGGAGGACCTGCTGCTTTAAACTTGCACAGAATAAGCAAAATACCTGCTTCTGTACCAAAGACTGGTTGTATCAGGTGAATGCCTTGGGTCAGATCTGTAGCCAGCTGAAATCAGCACAACACTGTAGAGCTCTGAGTTATAGCTACTGAGAATTTGGACTGGGGATTCTAGTTTGTAAATTATGCTTTTAGCTGCTTTAACTGACATGTTTGCTTTGTGGTGTTCCTTCCATCTGCCAGGTTGAAATGTGAAGCAATCATAAACCAAAGAGTTTTTTTGGGGTTGACTTGCTTCTAAACTGCAGCACTCTCTTGATGTCATAAACTTTTGTGCTGTTGTGTGTGCGTGTAAATGTCACCTTCTGTAAGGGAGCTTATTCTGATGCTGGCATCGTCCTGGCAATGCTAAAGTTCAGATAGGACTTTGTCCCTGCTTTATGAGGCGATAATCTTGCTTCTGTGTCTGGCTGAACTGCAGAGCCAAAAACTACAGTGCAGTCTCTGCAAAAGGATGTCCTTGGTACCCTGGGGGTCCCGTTATCATTCAGCTAATAACTGGACTGCCTGTTCTGATGAGCACTCATTTATACCCACTTAGCCGTGACGGGCTAAGAATCCATGGATCTGGACTGCAGTACATTTGTTGTTGTATAGTAAGCAAGCTGGCAGCTGGGAATTAGGTTACTATAACTGTTGATCATGCCTAAGTTCTGTGGTGTATTTGAATTCACTGCCACTCAAAAAGGTGGATGCAAGATAAATTGCTTGTGGTCTGGGCTGAATGTTTTCAGCCACTTTGAGTTCTCCCATCTGAAACGTTGGCCTTAATTTGGAGTCTTATTCTACAAACATCCTTTGAAGTCACTGAGGCCTTGTGGGATGGGGCTCTTGGCTGATAGCTACCTCGGGCTCAAAGAGAGGAATCTGTAATTTCCCACTGGATTTGCTTGAATAGTAGATGGGGTTTTTTTCCTTCTTTTTTTTCTTTTTGAGGGAGGGAAGAATTTGACTGTTGGAATTTACAGAACACTAGCTCAGTAACAAGGGAATGGGCTGAAAAGGCAGGCTTTTAGTAATTAGCTATGTTTCAATTAGGCTGCAGCTGAAATTTAAGCCTAGTCAGTAAGGCTTTATTATCAAAGAGAATGCAACCTGTGACAACTAATTGTAAGTCCTGAATAAATCAATAACGTCCTTGTTGCCCATGGGCAAAGCCAAGGAGCTGATGTCTTCCTTGAGCATTATGTCAGCAATGCAATGCAATTAGCCCTGCAGTGAATTGCAAGATGCTGTTTGTCATGGAATAAGGTTGCTATTCCCAGCAGCTCTGTATCGAGAGGAGAGGGGAATGTTTTGTTTAGCACTGATTGGCACTCATGTGCAACATGAGGACTGGCTTAATAACTAGAGTAAACCCATGTTTTGAAACTCAACAGTTGCAGCTCTCCCTAGGAGATGTGACCTGGCCTTATGGTTACTTACAGTGAAAATGGGTGGCCAGAGATTAATGTACCCTGTGCATTTGTGACTCCTAGGCTGGGACTGAAGTTTGCTGGCCACCCTCTCCTGCTGAGGCACATGGGCTCCTGCGTTCACCGTGTCCTAGGAGAGCAGCAGAGCAGGAGAAGACTTTGGAGAAAGTGTTAGAGCAGTTGGGAATTCACAGGCTGGGAGTCTCCAAGTCTCTTGTTTCTGGGGTGACGGAGTATGACAGCAAACAGTGCAAGTGAGGGGTCAGCACTTCCCCGCCTTGGCTTTTTGCTTATTTGCTTTGGGGGAGAGAAGTGATTGACAATGCTTTCTGAAAGAATTCGTTTGTTCTGATCTAACTCTAATCTGTCACACAGGAAACTGTCAGTGACTCAAGCCAGTATCTCCAGTCAATTGCAGATTGCTTATTTTTGAGTAGTAAAAGAAATTTGGCAAAAAGTCAGACCCAGAAATGCATCCTAGGCATTGAGGTTCAAAAAGCCCTTCCCAGGGCAAAATCCTGACTACACTGAAGTAAGTACCAAAATTCCTCCTGCATTTAGTAGGGTCAGCACTTCACCCAGGACTTTTGGAGCAGGCAGACTCACAGCTTTTCAGTGCTGCAGCCAGGCAGTTACAGTACAGCTGCTGCTTCATGCTGTGCTTAGAAGATGTGTTTTTTATTACAAGGCCATGGCCCTTGGGCAGCTCTAACTCACTTTTATATGGGAACTTTTATAGGGATTCATACATTTATTTATTGTGCTCATAAACACCCTCCACCCACATACACACATTAGCTCCGCATCTGCTGCCTTTTGCAGAGCCTGCACCATTGCTGAGCACTCCATGCTGTCTCCTTGTGGAATCCAAGCTCTGAGCAGAGCAAGGCATTGCCTCTCCATCCGTCCCCAATCACTTGGGGTTTTCTTATTCTTTTTTTTCTTCATTGGCCAAAAATACCCCTTTTCTTCCTTAATCTTCTGGTAAAGGTAAAAATGCCACAATCCCAGGAGCAAGTCCTGACAGTTTCACACTTCTCTCTGCTAATAAGATACCTTGTTCATTGCCTTGCACACTAATATAAGAACATCTTGCTGTCCTTGTTGAAGGCAAGTTGTCTGATCATTAGAGTGCATCTGCAGATGAGTTTCCTGAGAGGCTCTCCCTGCTTTGCTCTGTCCTTTCTAGGGCCTTGGGTGTCCAACTTCACCTCCATGTCTCCAGTGCCCCTGCTTTAGAGATGACTGCAGCTAATGAGTATCATCCAGCCTTGGCTGTGCTTGGTAAAGGGGCTACCTAGGAGGCAAATGTTCATTATTAGGACAGACCTGCCTTCTGAAGGTGGCTTTTAGCCTTGTTAGATACCAAGATACCATCTTCCCTGTTTTTCCATCCTCATGGCTGCAGAGATTTCAGGGGTGAATTAACATTATCAGCCCTCATCTCAGAGTTCTCACTTCTTCTCACCCATACCCTGGTTTGTAGTCATGACAACAAACTTGTTTTAAATAGACATAGAGAAAACTCTCAAAAAGACCCTCCTCACTGGCTCAGCACCTTGATGCTATTGCTTGTCAATCCAGGCTGTGTTTTTGTTGCAGCTGCTTTAGAAATCCTGGATTCCTTCCTGAGACTTGTATGTGGGTGTGATGGCAGCAGATGAACAGAGTTTATTGGGAATGCAGAGAGATGCCAAGTTAGCCAGTCTGTGTAGGCAGCTAATGGAAAACTTGAGCTCAGAAACAAGGTTGTAGAAATATCCTGGACCAGACATGCACTTGCCAGGAAGAGTTCGGATGCTGACACTACCAGCAGTGGGTGCAGCTGAACCTGCTCTGCCATGGTCTCATAAAACATTAAATTATGCTTGAAAATATGCTGACTTTGCAGCTGCCTTAAATCCAGGGCTGGTTCCTGCACAACTTAAATTACAAAACAATCCATAAAATCAGGCCATCTATTGTGATGGTTGGTGGTAACTGGGAAAGGGAATTATTTTGAAGTCAATGATCTTTTATGTTAACTGTGTCCCTTTTCTCTGGATAGCCTTTAACACAGGCAGGACGAGCTATTTCCCATACTGGAAAAGACATTCCAGTTTGTTTACTGGGGCACTGTGAAGCTAAACATCACTTCACTGTGGAAAGGTTCCCTGGCTATTGTTGCTGGCTAACCACTACTGGCTGTGGCTGCAGCACCTTGTCAGGCAGGTCTCTGAGCCTGGGGCAGTGGTTTTACCACTTTCTCTGACAAATTGCTTGTGTCTTACCACTGGTTTGCGCGGGTCACTGGGAGCAGGAGAAGCAGAAGCTGCAAGGTGAGGAACAGAAAGCAATGGCAGTGAGAGCAGCAGTACAGGCAGGGGCTTGAGCACAGGCTTGTATGCAACCTTCAAGTCCTTGCCTGAATCTTGGACCGTCACTGACTTTTTAATTTAGTGTTTCTCAGGACATATGCCCGCATTTAAGTGGTGGGGTGCTGCAAAGAGGATGTTATAGGAACTGTTATTAGGAAATAGTTGTAGTCTTGTTACTTCATCTCCTAAGGTGAACTGCAGCATCAGAGGTGCTGGTGGGAAGACTGTCCACAGTGCCAACAGATTAGCACCCAGGCCCTAAAACCAGGGTCTGTCTTGTCTGCTATATTCGACATTTCTGTAAGCGTGACAAGCAATTTGCCCCCTTCTCCCCCTCTACCACACTGCACATTGTAAAGTGGAAAGACACTTTAAAAGCTACAAGGGTCTCTTGGCAATGCACAGAGGGGGTTCAGCATCTGCCCCATGCCTAGAAGTCTAATCTCATTTACACTTGTCAGCGTGGGCTGCTGGAGGAGATGAAAGGCAGAGGACAAGAAGGAAGAATAGATTAGTCTTGAGCAGAGGGCACTGGGAGTGCACCTGCCTCTGCCCCACTACCTTGCAGAGGGGCGGCAGCGGCAGCTGGGCATGTGTCATCTGCTGCTCTTTGAGGCACCCAGCCATGGAGCACACGATTAATGATTCAGGGGGCTGGGCTTTTGTGAGCGATAAAGCCCTGGGATTTAGGCAGAGCTCTCTGGCCTTTCTTCTGAGCAGTGCCATCACTTTACA